TTAACTTTTGAAGTTTTTATATCAATTTATATTAATTAATTCTTTTTTTAAATACACAAAAATTTATATTTTAACAATGCAATATTCAAAGCAGAATAAACCAAATTTAGACCAATCTAAGTATTACAACTATAAACTATACAAATATTCCACTAAATAATAACTTTGAATTAGATTATAATATTATAATATTAGAATTATTAATTATAATCAACAAGCCAAAATTATATAAGCAATATAAAAAAATCTTATAAAAAACTGCTTTAAAAAAATTTAAAAAACTATACTAATCAAACTTTACTTAATCTACAAAGACTAAACTTATAAGTAAACTTGATTACTAACTAAAATCAGCTCATCTTTTAGAATAAACTACAAAAAACTCTTATTAAACCTGCTATTGCTAATGCCACCCCAAAATTTAAACAAGTGCTCCAGAAGAGATATTGCTATTAAGAAAACCCATCTTTTAGTCTTAATAAAAGTTGTTCATCAGGCCTTTCTGGTTTTAATGATAGTAAAATTATTAAAATCGAGCTTGTAGTTTTTTTTAAAAAATAATAAAAGTTAGCTAACTTCAAATATAAATATCTTAGAAACTACTGGTCTGAGTATAATAATTTTACTATTATTAGAACTAGAAAAGGCTTATGAACAACTTTTATTAAGATCAAAAGAATAGTTTACTTAATAAGAATATCTATTCTGAAGCACTTTTTAATATTTGAAAGGTGGCATTAGCAAAAATGTGGTAGAAATAGTCATTCTCTTTAATTAATTTACTAATTAAAAAGCTGTTAAACTATCTAAAATCTGATATAAATATATTAAATATATCAATGCTAATTCTTTTAGATTTTGATGATATTCTATATAAAGAATTTAATTATTTTTACAAAGATACCAAGAATTATTTGGATCTTGAAGAAGAAGATGACTACAATAAAGGTATATATAAATTTTTATTATTAATTTATTTATATGACTTTTTTTATTAATATTTTTTGGCATTACTATTTTAATAATTGCAAAAGAAACAACCACTAGAAGTATTTTTGAGATCACCACCTAAAAGCATAGTGGGCATTAAATTTGATTAGATGATCTACTGAAATATTACACAATATAAAAAACATATTAATATAATATTTTGCAAGTACAAAAATGAATTGGCAGCCACGAATATGAATTAGCAAAGCTTGAGACCTAAAAAAATCAAAGAATAGCTTCTGATCTATTAACTGTTAAAATAATTTAAAAAATAGTAAGGTAATTCAGAACTTAGCTAAGAAAGATTTATTTGCAATTTTATTACAGATATTATTTAAAAAGAAAAGTAGATGTAAGAATATCTGCACAAGAAACTTTCTATAAAGATCCAATCATTCTTACCAAACAAAAAGAAAAAAAAAGCCCAGTACTATGATTTGGAGGGTCAGAAAGATATTATTTGTGACTATAAGTATAGTACTTCTATTGTGTCAGATCGAATAGTAATTCCAAGCTCAAGTCAATATCTTGATCTGGTTTCAAAGCTTTGTACAAAAAGTATTATAACAAATTAATAGTAAATGCCATGAAAGCTAAGAAGATATGTTTGTATTCAAAGTATCAGATTTATTTTCTACAGGTTTAGAGGTAAAATCTATGAAGAAAGCTCTAGAACATTTGATTAATTTCTTCAATTACTACAAGAAGCAGTGATATGCTGTTACTGCTTATATAAAACTGATAATGATCTAAAATATATTAATTTGCCTGACTACTTAATACTAATAGAAAGGGTTTCGAAAGAATATATAAGAAATTTTTAAGGTAAGTTATATATATTATTAAATAAGATTATTTATTCTCAATTTCAATTTCAAGAATTAGAATCTGCATATAATAGAAATTTGTGCAGAGCTTAACGAAGCAAGGCTAGATAAGTAAATTATATTTAAAATTTTTTTTTTATTAACTGTGAGTTGCAAAATTTGTTTAATTTAATTATTATTTTTTAGAATCGATTTCACTCAGCAAAAAAATTAAGCTGATAGCAAGAGTATTATACACAAGGCAGCGTATGTATAATGAGAATCCTATTTTTAATCTAGAAGATTTTAAGAAAATGAATGAGGAATTAGAGCTGTTATTGAGAGGTTTTTTTAATCAGCTATTTGCCAGGACTAATCCGAAAGCAAAAAGCTATATGACTAATGAAAAAAAATAAGAAAGACTTGTTTCTTTTTGCTACTTTCTAGCAGGTCTTAATAATAAATTCATTAACAGTGTTAAAGCAAAAGTTGGTTACTTGTTAGATGCATCTGGAACATCATTATCAGCAATGGGAACCCTGGCTAATGCCAGTCTGATGATACAACGTGAGACTATTGCGTGGCAGAAAACTCAATATGCAAAAACACAGATAATATCAGTAGAAAATTTTCTGTCAAATAATGTTAGCTTTTTTATTTTTATTTTTATTTATTTATTTTTTATTTATTTAGTTATATTTTATATAATTTCAACTAATGTTTCAACTAACTTTTTTTTTTTTAACTTTACCTTCCTCCGCTATCCTGAAGATCTTTAGACACCTTTAGGATCTGTCACATTTCTTAAAGGCCAGATTCGTCATTCTGCGAAGATCAATGGACGGCAGGTGGCTGCTAATTCTTCACCGTACTTGTGAGATAGCTCATGCTCCATTAAGTCCGTCATATGACATCCCAGGTTCCTGGCTCTGTGGTATAGGATCCCGACTTTAAGTTCTGCAGTTCCCTAATTTCACATGACCCACTAACCGGATTGTCTGTATATTTACTAATGTCCTATTAATCTGAAACTGGGCTTTCTCAATGTTAGCGTCATTTGTTAATAGATTACGCCTTATCTGGTTATCCCCGATTCTGTGTTTATGCCGGTAACTGCTTTCTTTGGTATGAATCTTGCTCTTTTTCTTTTTATAGAAACTCCCCTGAAGATCATTTCCGATCATGGTCCTGACAAAGTTTTTGTCATCCTTTGAACTTGAACTCGTGACCTTGCGATTGAGACCCGGAGTGCTAACCACTGCACTATCGACCCAGGGTCCCTTTCAACTAACTTAATCTAAACTTTTATTAGAATAAAAAATTAATCATACTTAATATTGATAATTTTTATAATATACATGAGTACCGCCATAGTAATTTAACTTTAATATATTCAATTTTTCATTTTGTTATAGCATTGTTTAAAGCCTGCCAGATACAACATCAATTCTGAATATTGAGAATAAAAATATTTACAATGAAAGAGGTATTGATGCAACTATTATTATTAGAAATACTAATATATATATTTTTTCCTATTAATGGTATAGTTACATAGTGCAAAGATCTATATTTAGTGATTCAATATTTTTTACCTGAGACACACAAAGAACAGGTTAAATATCTCTTGATTCACAGCTATGATATCAAAATCAAACAACGTAAAGAAGACTGAAGCATGAATAATATCAAACTTGTTGAACTAAAAGTAGAATAGCTCTATAATATAGAGAAATATATAAATGCACTTCAAAGCTTGACGAATTTTGATAAGGCAAAATCTTATTTGGAGAGTCAAATTTTGGTAGCATCTATAGATTTTTCTGAGCAGCTTAATGTCGATGTGCTGTTAATCATAAAATTAGATTTGAAGATTCTTCTAGTATATTAGAATGGTTTTTCGCATTGTGCTAATAATTGGGCCTTTGCATATATCCTTGAATAGTCGTGAATCTGTATTTCTTGTCAATTATACTTTTTTTGATAAGCTTTTTTATGATATTTATAGAAGTGAGAAGGTATTGGCTAAAAAGCCAAAACCTTACAAAATAAATTTTTTGCTATAATTAGCATTTAAAAGCTAGTCTCAAATCTGTTTGATAGTTCTACAGAAGTTTGAGCAGATAAAAGATCCAAAAGCCAGATACTTGATTAGCCTTCTAGATTAGTGAAAATTGGCAGCTTATTGAGAGGCTATGTTTCGCATTTAGTGTATTTTTTATCAATATCAGCAAAAAAATTACAATAAGCTGCTACTAGCTTTTTTAAGTGATGTGTTTTACTAGAATAGTATTAATCATCCTATTTTATAGATACTTACTAATTCTCTTCATGTATTTAATGATTATCATGTAGAGAATTTTCATAGTTCGATTAGATATTGAGTGCAATCATCTAATACTACAGAGCAAATTATTTGAAAACACAAATAATAGATTTGATACATAATAATAGCACTTTTACTGAAGCTTTTTCTGAGAATCACAATATCAGATATTCAGTGAGACAACTAGAATTTCTTGAGAAGTGAACAGCAGTATTTTTATTAAATTTTTTTACAAAAATTTATAAAAATATAGGTTAGTCAGTTTTAACAAGTTCAAAATATCAATTTCTGATATTGGAGGATAACATCGACATTAAACCTTTGCCAATAGCTTGGAATACCATATATCCTTCATGAAACAATAAGTATTGTAATTTGGAAGATTGTACCAGGACGTGTGAAGTAGGATTAATACTTATTTGTAGCTATTCTTATTACTTTGAATATTTATTATTTAGATTGAGCAGTCAATATAAGTATTGTATGGATTATCTTGTAAGCGGAATCAAAAAAAACTGCAAAAGCTTTGATGAAACTGTGAGGTCGACTAATACAATAATAGTTGAAAATCGAAATGAACAGAATGTTGCAGAAACTACTAAAAAAGCTAGTACTGCCGAAATTGATAATGTAATTTTAGATAGTAATATAGATCAGTTTTTTAATTCAGCTATGGTTAATTTCACAGCAGCATAGTTATAAATTTGTAATATGGCATATTTTATTAAAATATTGCTTTATTTTTTATTTAATAAAAAAGTTCCATTTAATTAATAAAAAAAATTACATAATAAAAAAAATTACAATTTAATTCTATAATAAAAAAAAATTACAATTTAATCGTAATAAAAAAAAATATAATTTAATTAATAAATAAATTATTTTTTGATATTTTTGGTTCGAAAATCTTTAATGATCAACGCTGCCTCTAATTGGATAAAATCCCTGGTCACAGCAAAAATGATCTGCAAAAATTAACCAATCATAGCGAAAGCCCGCTATGTTCTACCTGAAGCATCACCTGAAGTACCACCTGAAGCACTACCTGAAGCACCACACAAAGTGCCACCTGAAGCACGACCTAAAGCACGACCTAAAGCACCACCTGAACTATTGCCAAAACCATCACAAAAACAATTGAATATGTCAAAATTGTATGTACTATTTAAACTACCTTTCAAAAAATCAAGCACCCAAATTTCCCAAACATCAAAAATTCCAAGCCAACTAATATTCAAAAACATAATGTATTTCTCAGCTTTCATCACCAGTACCTTCCATACAACCAAGATTATATTTGAATGATATTTCTAATCATATTATGCCTTTAACTTATGAAGAAATTAGAGATTTTAATGAAAGTAGAATGAATAATAAAGAAGTACATTACCATTTCCACTACCATTTTTTTTTAAAAAAATGTATTTTTTTAAAAATTTATGTATCATTCATTTTATTGAAATAAATAATGCATTTGTACATTTGCAATTTTAAAAATCGGGCCCATAAGTACTTTCGACGAAATCGGTCTATATGAAAATCATGTGATTTTCATATAGACTGATGAAAATAACTTAGGAGAAAAAGCACGGGTTGTTATATAGTACCCATGGAATAATTATTTAATATTTCTTAATATTTTAAGTAAGGGATAAGTCATAGGTCATTATTACTTACCTACGTTAGAGCTATACAATTTGTATAAAAATGGTAGATCATATGCTATCATAGCGTAAATACAAGTTCCATCTTGAATTTTATCATAATATAAAAATGGAAATAAGAGATAATAATTGTAACTGTATCTATTAAGGGTAGATAGGTCGGGGATGATTGTTATGTGAAAACTAAGCAACTTGGGTTTATTTTTCCTTTATTTTGAAGAATGCAAGCGAAAGCCTAATTAGCTTTCTCTCTCTTTTACATATTTATATCGCATATTCAAGAACAAGAATATAGTCTTTAGAATTATCAACTTTTGATATACCATAAAACTTTAAAAATGTTGCATTTTCATTATTCATAGAACAATATGCATTTAGCTTTGTTATTAGAAAAGTATATCAGATAATTAATAATCAAAAAAAATTTACTGTAAATTCTTGAAATAGCGGGCATTATTTCGAAAATCGCGCCCCTAAAAATAGCATATATGGATTCAAAATAACGTCTATGCGTGTCCCGAACTAACGCTAGCGCAGGTATTCAAAATAGCGCGCAGATGCCCGCTATTTCGAGAATTTACAGAATTTACAGTATTAAATTATCAAACTTAAGTTAAAATTACCTCATTCTTAAATTCTTTATAACCATTTTTAAATATTTTAAGTGCAACTTCTGTTGTTAAACTATTTTTATCTCTCCAAATTGCATAAAATACTGTTGCAAATCCACCTTGCCCTATTTTTTTGATAATTTCAAATTCGTTATAAGGAATCCACTGACATTCAACTTCACCCAATATTCTTTTTAAATCTTCATCTATATCAAATTTTTTTCCGCTTACAACTAATAAAATTTGGATTTTTGTTTAAATTTTTTATATTAATGACAAAAAATTTCAGTGATAATATTACCTAATGATGTGTTTTGCCCCTAGTTCATTATTAAATATACAAATTATTTTAATAATTGAGTTTAATACTGAGATTAAAAAATTATAGATATATTTACATTTGATACCAATGTTCAGCCTTTTGTAAATCTATTGATGTTCCAATGCTTTTTCGGTAGCAATTACTAAGGGTATACATTGCATTAATATTTCCCATCTTTGCTGATTTTTCATAATGAATGAATGCTTTACGATCATCTTTATTAACTCCAACTCCATCCTGGTAACAAATGCCAATACGATACATTCCATCGTCATTTCCTAAATTAGCGGATTTTTTATAAAATTTGAATGAATTATGCTTATTATTTTCAACTCCAATCCCATTTTCATAACAATTTCCAAGACAATAAGTTCCAGCAGCATGCCCTAATTTTGCAGAGTTTTTATAGCAATCAAATGCTTTGTATTCATTTTTTTCAACTCCAATACCCTTTTCATAAAAAACTCCCATATAAAACATTCCATCGGGACTTTTCATCTTATCTGATCCTTTTATGTAGTTCATGTCAGCAGATTTTTTGTAACATATAAATGCCTCATATTTATTTTTTTCAACCCAAATTCCATTTTCATAATAAAATCCAATCTGAAATATTCCACCCGCATCCCCCATCTCTGCAGATCTTTGGTAGTAAATGAATGCCTTATGTTCATCCTTTAGAACTCCTATTCCATTTTCATAACAACGCCCAAGATTATTTATTCCATCAGCATGTCCCATATCTGCAGATTTTTGATAATATTCGAGTGCTTTCATTATATCTTTTTTAACTCCTATTCCATTTTCATAACAACGTCCAAGATTATATATTCCATCAGCATGTCTCATATCTGCGGATTTTTGATAATATGCGAATGCCTTCTTTATATCTTTTTCAACTCCTATTTCATTTTCATAAAAACGTCCAAGGTTATATATTCCATCGGCATGTCCCATATCTGCAGATTTCTGATAATATTCAAATGCCTTCTTTATGTCTTCTTCAACCCCTATTCCATTTTCATAACAATGTCCTATGTGCCATCAGCATGTCCCATATCTGCAAATTTTTGATAATATTTGAATGCTTTCTTTATATTTTTTTCAACTCCTATTCCATTTTTATAACAGCGTCCAAGATTATATAATCCATCAGCATGCCCCATATCTGCAGATTTATGATAATATTTGAATGCCTCATTTTCATTCTTTTCAATTCCTATTCCATTTTCATAACAGCGTCCAAGATTACATTTTTTATCAACATGCCCCATATCTGCAGATTTTTGATAATATGCGAATGCCTTCTTTATATCTTTTTCAATTCCTATTCCATTTTCATAACAGCATCCAAGATTATATATTCCATCAGCATGTCCCATATCTGCAGATATTTGATAATATTCAAACGCCTTCTTTATATCTTTTTCATCTCCTACTCCGTATTGATAACAACGTCCAACATTATACCTTCCATCTGTATGTCCCATATCTGCAGATTTTTGATAATATTTGAATGCCTTCCTTATATTTTTTCCAACTCCTATTCCATTTTCATAACAACGTCCAAGATTATATGTTCCATCAGCTTGTTCCATGACTGCTGATTTTTGA